TTCTGATCTACTCTGCATAGCCCCGCCCTCTCACTACAGCTGACTTCTGATCTAATCTGCATAGCCACACCCTCTCACCGCAGCTGAGTTCTGATCTAATCTGCATAGCCCCGCCCTCTCATCACAGCTGAGTTCTGATCTACTCTGCATAGCCCCGCCCTCTCACTACAGCTGACTTCTGATCTAATCTGCATAGCCACACCCTCTCACCGCAGCTGAGTTCTGATCTAATCTGCATAGCCACACCCTCTCACCGCAGCTGAGTTCTGATNCATAGCCACACCCTCTCACCGCAGCTGAGTTCTGATCTAATCTGCATAGCCACACCCTCTCACCGCAGCTGAGTTCTGATCTAATCTGCATAGCCCCGCCCTCTCTCTATAGGTGTAAACACTCTTTCCTACTATATTGGGCCCTACCTTATCTTACTCTACACCATCGTCTTTCCCTATCCTGCCCTTGTTTGTGTCTTTTTTTCCCAGCAGTTCAGGATCAGAGCGCGGAGCACCTTGACTAACCCTTTACTCATCTTCCTCCATCAAGTATGATGACTTACTGATGCATACAACATTTCCATGAGCTAAAATCCTGTGTATCTCCATGACCAGTTAAGCCCTGGGGTGATGTCAGTAAGCCTTGCCTGAGACACCATGATGTGTTTGGCCTTTGCGGAAACAAGAATCATAAGCATTGCTTAGTCTCCATATAAAAATGACTTGTAGTCACCGTAAAAAAAAAAAAAATCCAATGACCAAAATAGTTATACTCTCCTCTGTTTTCTTTATGCACTGTAGAGTATTTTGTACGGGCAGCAGTGTCTGGGCTTGCTGTTTTCATTTAGAGTGGCAGATAAAGTTTCATGCCAGTAATAAATAGCCATAATGGAGTGACATGGAGCAAATGCCATCTACAATGTTTTATGTCTGAATCAATACCTCTTTTGATGCACAACGTGGGGCAAAAATATTTCATACACTTTCAGCAGCAGCGCAGTGGTCCAGTTCACCACAGACACCAAACAGGAAGTCGTTTACTTCAAGAGCCCTTGCATCCCAGAAGGAGCTTAAACTCTAGGATTGTCCTGGATGGAGATCATTAAAGCCCCCAGGAGCCACAATCTGCCACCTTCATTTCTCGTTGCATCCAGCCAACCAACTCTCGCAACACTAAGTCCGCAATAGAGGATGAAGAGCATGATTGAGGGGGTCTAACTTGCAATAGAGAGATTTCACACATTTCAACATATCAAAGTGATCGTGATAACAATGATAACGACTTCTTCGCAGACAGTGGGATTTCTGTTGCAGCAAGCAGACGACAATCGGCTGATTGCATGGAAGGTGGAAATCTAGTTGTGGGACGTATTAATACATCAATCTACTTTCATTAAAAGCAGAAAAAGGAAACCAGTTTCAATTTACTCAGTCATTATACAGCCTGCGATTTCTTTCCCGCGCACTATGCCATTTCACACCCGCATCCTCAGCAAACGTGACGTGCTTTTAAATCGAGCCAGTCATGCGGAAACTGAAAGACAGACAGAGGCAGTGAAACACTTTAAAAAATAAACACAGAAGCACTAACCTGGATCCTCTGACAGCTCTCATGCTAGAACGCCCCTCTCAGCTTCTCTCGCTCTACCTTTTTGTCTCTGCGTCCCTCGCCCTTTTTGTCATCTTTTGTCGAGGTTCAGAATAGCGCGTCTCCACACTTAGTGATGGGTAATAGCTATGTACCGAGGAGGTGGCTGCTTTAACCAGTTTGGCCCATTGCAAGAGAGGACAGAATCATAACATCCAGATGACAGGAAGCAATGGAGAAGGAGGGAACGGGAGGAGAAAATGGAGAAATGGCAGTGGCCTTTAAGCGGACACAGGCATCGCAGTGTATAGTTGGTCATCCCAGTAGAACCACCGCTGTCAGCCATGATGGGAGAACGAGGAAAACGATGACATGTGACCCTACAGGAACCATAGTTATTAGGGTGGGTCTGAGTTCTGTGATGGAATGGTAGCTTCATTCAGACAGAGGCATGGAGATTGGTCATGTCATTCAGGAAGTGCATTTCTTGCTTAAGGGTTGCTGGTTGAAATCCGTGAAGGACCCCAGAATTTCTTGTACTGTACCTTTAAGCAAGGCACTGGGTTGTTTGATTGTGCAACGCTGGGTGCTGCTTGAACAAAAGTACTAAGCAGCTAATACCTAACTCCATTTTTAATTTTTCTTTTTTTTTGGGGGGGGGTGGGGTACCAGCCAGGGAACAACCCAGGGGGGGGGGGGTATTTCATTGCTATAATTGTAGTATGTGCAGAATAGAGAACATAGGTACTGCATGTAAACTTTTTATTGTGATGAGGCTTGTTTCCATAGATAAAAACACAAAAGAAACATCTCCATTCTCATTTCATTAAAGAGAATTTTTGATGAAACCAAGAATAACAAAAATGTGTATCAATAATTAAAATAATAAAAGAATGATGATAATAATAAAAGAAACCTTGGATAAACAAAGCAGTCTGCCTTTGATTTGTTCTGAGTACACTTTACAGATCCTTTAAATGAATACATAAGTTTGCAATATTTTCATAACCATACCAATGAAAACCATTTAAAACACTTGAGTAGCTACAAATGATCAATAGCAAATTTATTATCTTAAACAAGTATAGTGTGTCTGTATAAACTCATGTAAAATGTCTGTCAGGCTGTGAATCAATGCCTGTGTGTACGTATCTGGGCATGGTGGCATGTTTGAGAGCTGGAATGTGCATATATGAGCCAAGTGGATAGAAGGGGTGTCATGCCAAGCGAAGCGTGTGGTCATGAGACTGTGTGGAGGCGTGAGAGCAACCTGGGAACAATGACTCTGAATTAGCTAAAACTCACAGGCTGAATGATCAAACAGCGAATCTCAAAAACGCCATCCTACAAGTTTTCAGTCTTTTATTAAAATATTCAACAACTATGTGTCAAGCACTGTAAAATGAAAGTTACTTGTAATACAGTCTGAGGTGAAAATAAACACAAATTTTCATCAAAACACCACCTACGGAATTAATAAACACTTCTTGCATTCTGAGATTTATTGCTCACAACATTAAATATACGCAATTAGCTATTCTCCCTTCATTTTCACATATAAAATTTTATGCAGACATTAAAGGGACGTCTTATACCCCCAGATTTGGAGATCTGAAAGTCAGCGTAACATGTCCTCTTAGTGCCACATTAGTTTGCGAACCACTGTAAGATCCGCGCTGCCACGATCAGTTTCTGAGCGTCTGGCGTATTTAACAGAGAGTGGGCCAGGCCTGCTATCACTGCTTGCTGAGTTTCACTAGGGCTTCATTCCTCACGTTCCTTTAAAAAAGAAATGAGGACCCCCACAATTATTCACCGAGGGACTATATTTCTGAGAGGGTCAATAACAAAGGACTTATCGTAGAACAATACCTCACAGCAGAACGCGTTGAAAATATCAATACATGGTTGATGGTTCAACAAACAAAAACACCGTTTCCAATCGATAAAGGGTGTAGGAAAGGCTTTTAAAGCCGTCCCCTGAAGAGGCAGGCTAAGTGGTGATGAATGATCAAGATTTACATGGCTAATGTTGATACAGACCCATTGCTGGGAAGGAGATCGGGAGGACAGCGGAAACTGAAAATGAAAGCTAAAGCTTTTTTTTAAAGCACGTGAAAGAATGTGGTAAACAAACGTTTTTAATAAAGTGATGAATAATGAGAGTTTTTACTGCTGAATTATGAGTAATACGCGAGTGGGAATGTATTTTAAGATCTGTTGCTTTGACGACAGTATTGTTCCTTTGCTTTTTGCACATGGCATGAGAGGCGTGGTCATTCAGCAGGTACAACAGTGTCCAGTGTCCCAGGGTTGTGGGTTCATTCCAAGCCCCAGTTCCCTTTGTTTACACAGGTTTCATCCTGCAGTTCAAAAACATGCCTTTCGGGTGTCTCTAAATTGCTTATAATGCAGGACTGTGTGTAAGTGTCCTCCGACGGACTGGTGTCCCTGGTGTACCCTGCCTCACGCCTCAGGCGTCCCGTGATCAGACCCCCTAAAATAGATGAACGCATGCTGCATGTGAAACATGGAGATATTATGGAGGTCGACAACTGTTGGAATGTGGAAAACGTTGGGACACATCACAGGAAACGGTCCTCGCGTTTGCCAGGTCATCTGGGCATGCAGTCACATGAATGCACTTGGTTGGCAATTACATTCCGCAGCACTTAACCCATTAGAACTAGGACTTGTAAAGAACTGAGCGAGGCTCAGGCAGAAAGTGGCGGTGTGGAAGCTTAGGCCAAACCAAGCAGAGCATAACATGAGGCATGATCACCAAGATGGCAGCTTCAAATGCATGCTGACTGTCATCTGAACATAAGCTATTCATCTTGCATCAATGGTTGACATTCTACCCTCTTGGCATCTCTATAGCTTAATACCCCTCTACATTCTTCAACTTATTTCAGATCAATCATCAAGGCAAATGCAAGAATAAACTCGTACTGTACATAAAACACATTATGACGACCTCTGTACAAAACCAGAGGTGGTTCAGGCATCTGACACGTTTTAGTCGCTCATAAGTGACTAATAATAATAATCGAATTCAGTGTCACGCACATCTACACCCATACATGCACTTTTGTGAAATTAGCAACAGCAATTGTGCTTTTCGACAGCATGTTAGAGTCACTCTAAAAAACAATCGTTCACAAAAATACCAAAAATGACATCAGAAAATAGCATTGTTTGTAGGCATATAAAAAGGTATATAAGGTAAAGGCAAAGAAAAATCAGGTAATCACACACGCACACACACACACACACACACACACACATATATATATATATATACATATATATACATATATATATACTGTATATATATATATATATATATACACACATTTTGCACATTATCATTGCAGGCCAGAAATGTGAAAATGTTTTTTTACCTTTTCGAGTTGTGCATTTTGTTTGGACTTATACAAGAACTCGCCGACAGCCACAAACACAGAGAGGACGAGGCCGGCGGCCAGCACGATGAAGATGCCACCGATGTTCTGCACGCCCAGGGCACTGGCCTCCTTGCTCTCCTCCTCTGGGCAGCCATTGCCTCGCCACCACTTCTCCTTCATCATGTGCAGCTTCCCCTCCTCCTGCAGCTGCAGGATGGCGATGGTGATCTTGTCCCGGTACGGAGAGCCTGGGAGTTGGATGGGGACGACGGTTAGCCGGTTAGACGGAGGACCCTGGCAGTGCCTGTGTCTGGAAATTCACTACTGCAGTAGCTCGGCAACTAGATGGTTGTGGAATGAAATCCCAAGATGGTATATTATACTTCCCAGAATTAGGCTCTAATATATATTCTGTAAAATATCCATTTGCATCAAAAATATATGGTGACAAGTACACTATGCAGGCAATTTGGCTGCAATGTCAAGCTGCCATTGGCACAATGTGAAGTCCTTGCCTGGAATCCAAACTTCTCCAGCTGAATCTATGGGTAAAATTATTTGCAGTTACTAAACATTACAAAATAGCAGTATACTGATCTTCTGCACTTAGTAACAGCAGAATGTGCAGTGCTTGGCTATGAGGCCCTTAGGTTTTTTTCAGTCTGAGCTGCTCGTTACGAGTTAATGCACCCTGCGGGGAGAACCTTCTGCCCCGAGGCGTCTTAACTGTGACTATTTTAGCAGAACTGCTAATGTTGATATCACACCTTGCTGCGAATTTGGGGTCCTGGCAATATCTTTCAGCCGTTAGAGCCGCTCTCACTAATTAAAAACAGTTATGCAGCAATGTTTCCTGTTGCTGTCACTGTCTTAGAAGATAAATTACTTCCCAGTTTGAGTGCTTTGAAGAGGTTCCTACGTTTACCTCATTCTGGGACGCTATAGGTATCAGGAGGTTTCAAGTGCTCCCAGAGATGCAGACCCCCAGTGGGCCCTTCGGAAGCCTCCTACACACATGCAGGAGAACATAATTTACATTCTCAACAAACCAAAAAGGCATCTCATAGAGAGTCAGCTGACTGGGGTAACTTCTGTTGGTTTCTTCCTCCCCCCATTCTTGGAAAATCGGGTTCTGTCCATAATTACCCTCAGTAACTTCCTTTCTATCAGCAAAAAGGCTCCTTTGTTGATTATCCTATTTGTGCTGTGTTGGTTCTGCTCCTACTCAGTTTCCATAAAGGGAACCATGTCCACAATAAAGAAACGACTCTTTACCTAATCCTCATGCTGGATATTTGTCTGCTCTATGCCCACCACAGCGTCATTCAGAGTGCATATGATGCCTGTTTTAAGTAATCCAGATGTGATGCACTAACCCGATGAGATGCCAGGGTTTAAAAGGTAGGTTACACTGCTGACTTGTCAGCATTAAAGGACGAGGAACTCGCAGTCCTCCATGCCCTTGACAATGGAAGAACCTTCAAGTTTGGTGTCCTGGGCATCCGACAAGGCAGAACCTGCTTTCAGCGTGGGAAGCCTGGGTCAGTCTCTAAGCTTTATCCGTAACCCCCACCTCCGCACGGAGCACAGCACACCCACAGCGCCGTGCCTGCTTCACATAAAAGCCAAATTTATCCCTACCAAATGAAAAAAGACCATATTTACACTGATATAGTGCAGAAGGGCAGAGGAAGCCTGAGAAGTCTTCAAGGAGACAAAAGATGGTGATAAGTGAGCAAAGAATTATGCAGGAAACAAAACATGAGTGTTGCCTGACAGCAGTTTGATTAAAGTAAATCTAACCTGAAGCTAAGTACAACTGACAGTATCCCCTGCAAAAAAATAATAATAATAAAATAAAATGGAAAAAAAAAACTATTGGCTATTTTCTCTAATGCAAACTGACTTCTTCCTTGATTCAGCCATATGAAAAATGAAGTCTTTTTTTTTTTGTTCCCCACCGTGCATTCACTCGTGAAAATGAATGTGCCCACCGGGCCCTTAGTGACTAATACGTTAAATCCTGATTGAGGAAAATGCTGTCTAGTAAACTGTGCTGCAAAAGGAGTGTAGCTGCAGTATGCTGAAAGGGAACTGATGATGTCCCCAATGCATTCTTTGTAAACACAAAAATTCAAATGAGCTGCTGTAAGACCAAAATCGTATTTATAGCACCGAGATTTTGTCCTTTAACATCATTGCAGATTTGTTTTTTTTTGCACTCTGTGTTTCTTAATGACAAACAGAACCTTATACATTTTTAATCTGGAGGCTTGAAAACAAATTAGCGGCATTAGCACGGTTTAAGTGATTGCGTTAACGAGCCAGGAGATTCATCGGTGCAGGGTGGGCCACACAGAAGCTGTGCACATGCACAGCGCGTCACGAGGCTGTGGTGTACGAGGACGGCCAGATTCGCTCCGTGGTGCTTCATCTTTGTGTGCCTCCTGCCAATTTGCAATTGGAAGATTGCTGGTTCTAACCCTAGGACCTGAGGTACCTAACCTAAGAAGTACATCCTGGGACACCTAATGCCCAGCTAATACCCAGCTCTGGTAGCTGGAGATAAGGAGCAAATTATAGGCTTTGTAAGGGACTCCGTAACTGTGTACTGCCATGCAAGGTACATAAAAAATTAAAACATTCTACAAAGCACTAACACCACAGATTATGTTTTGCATGCACATTTTCTTTTGTCTTTCTTTTGTCTTCCATCCCTGATTTCTGCAGTTCTATTTTCGTATGTCTGCGATTATATAACTCACACTGCAGAGGGACGTGTCTTTTCTTGGTGACAGTACGGGGGTGTCCCCAATGTGGGAGTCACAGTTTGTGGTTTTTTTTTCCCCCAGGATATTTATTTCACATTGGCTCTGCCTGCACGCAGCCGGTCACGGTGATGCTGTGTGGTAAAATACTCCACAGCCACCGTGCATGATGGTGATTGCTCACCAACAGGTTACCTCAGCGAATGATGTCATTTAGATTTGAACAGCAATTTGTGCTTCCTGAGTCACTCTTAGGAGATGAGGTGGAGCAGAATGAGTGAAATGTTCATAATTAAAACCCTGTACAGTGACACCAAGAAATTCATTGGAAAATATATGGTACTGTTTAAAAAAAATTTAAAAAAAAGGTGAGAATTTGTTATCCAACTGGGTCATTCTTGACAGCTTGCAAATTTCACACTGGGGAACAAGAAGACTAAATGCTGCTTTACAGAAGCTAAACACACACACACACACACACACACACACACACAGACAGGTGACATGTCTCTTTGTGGGGACCATCCATTCATATCCATGGGCAAAACTCTATTCCAAAAATGACAACATTAACCCCCACCCAGTCCTAACCTTAACCATAAGTGAACAAACAAAATACAAGACTTTTGGCATTTAATTTTTTTGATTGCATTCACAGATTTTTATAAAAATTGAATTTCCCCTTGTGTCGATCGAAAAAATGGTCCCAACAACATCCAAATAATAGGCTTTTATCACATTGTGGGGACATTGGACCACACACACACACACACACACACCACGCACACTCGGAGAAACCTGTGTACTCTCAGGCTTTGAAACGCATAAGTGCCCATGGAAATGCAGAGTGTGGAACTGAGATAATGATCCGTGGCATAAACAACGGCGGGAAATGACTCGGCCAGCACCGTCCATAGGATTAATGCCCTGCTTGTGAGAAGGCAACAGTGTGTGAAGTCCATTTCGGGTGGCTGTTGGCAGAGTCGTTAATCACTTCGCCCCGCCGTTCAGAGAGGCGTCATGACAACATCCTGCTAATCAGCGCAAGACGGTAACGATTGTTACTCAAAGTTCTGACCAAGGCCCGAGTTGAAGTATAGACAAAAAAGGTCCAAGTATAGACAAAAAAAATCGTCACTCAATAAACCTAAGGGATGAGTTAATTAAAGCATATTCTGATCCATAGCAGGTCTTTGAAATGACTGCCAAAAATTTCCTCACTGAGCAGTTCAAACTTTGGTCAGGGGTGTAAGAAAAATGTTTTGAAAAACATGCCTCAAAATCATCAAACGCACACTTAGACCTGTGTAATTTACAAATCCTGCCAATTTTTTACCAGAGATTACAGCGATGTGTTTCAGATCACATTTGTAACTGTCCTCCAAATAAATGAAAAACCATTCCATTTATTTCCGTGCGTGACCACTGCATAAAACGAACCACTGCATCCTGTATTTCACCCATCTCATTGCTAATGTGTCCCTAAGTTTTCTTTCGCATAAACTTTATATGGAATTTGTCTCCACATAAACTTTTTTGCTATTTGTTCTCACAGATCTGTAAGCATATCATACCAAGTGAACAACAGATACACATCAATTGGTTTGTGTCCATGCATTTCACATTCCCACAAGACGCGAGCAGCAAAACAGAAAGAAACCTGCCCGACTGCATTCTGCTGAGACATGCCAGAGTAACATCCGAAAGCTGTCTGTTCTGAAACACGCATTAGTGGGGCCCTTCTCGCTGAGCCCTCTAAGGCTGCAGAATACACATCTGTGAGACTGAAAATCACACGCTTTGTCGCAGGAGAAAGTTGAAAAAAATTCACCTTCCTTTTTCTGGAATGAAATGGAAGTGATGTCTCTCTCTGTTTTGCTTTATTAGTTACTTGTTCAATCGTTCACATGCCATTTGACCGATAATTTCTCATTCTCCTTCTGGGCTGAAATATTTATAGCAGGGGTCGCCAACCTATTTGAAACTGCATGAGAACTACTTTACGGATACTGAGCCATACGAAGGGCTACCAGTTTGATACGCTCTTCTTAAATAACAAATCTGCTCAGTTTACCTTTAGATATATATTATTATTATTATTATTATTAATGATTAATGATACTCATCTATGTGATGACACTGATCATGTTTATGATATTATCAATACAATTATAAAATTGAATTTTAAACGCTGCTCACTGATGAGTTGTGCTATTTTTAGAACAGGTCCGCGGGCACCTCATGTGGTCCTTGGGGGCATGTTGGTGACCCCTGATTTATAGAGTGTAAGTGTGAATGAGAAAATGCATCCTGGGTATATGCGGATTGGCCTTTGTGAACAGGAGCTGTTGAATGCCCTGGTCTGCAGTGCTGGTAAGTGTACGGAGAGGGCGGCCGGTGCTGAACCTACCCATGGGCGTGCCCACCCCGTAGGCCTTGGAGTCGATGAGACCGCCAATCTGAGTCAGGTTGCAGTTGCGCTGCGTGACGAACTCGATGGTGGTGGACTCCATGAGGAAGGCGTAGTCAGAGGTGAGCACTCGCTGGATCCCCTCCTCGACGTTCTTCACCATCACTGAGTGCCTGCGACTGCTCATGAACTCCCACATTTTGTCGTAGGTTGAGATCTTGGTTTTCTGGGGAGAGAGAATGGGCAGGGCAGCAGTCAGGAATGACCATATAAGGAGTTCCTGCTAAATGACCAAGCACCTCCACTGACAAGACAGCGCTGTTATAACGGGTGCAAAAATATCCTGAAAATGGCTGCAATTTCACAGGCCATCAAAACCTCACAATGTCTAAATATAAAACAGCTCCTGTATTTGTTCCAGCCTTATTCAGTCCCTCCATTTACAGGACTGATGCACATACACATTTCAAATCACTCAAATTATTTTTGTGTCTTCTGATCCAAACTTCTGTGGAAGGAACAGTTGCCATGTGTCATAATAAATGCAAAATATATTAGTTTTATTTTGCACTGATGACAGTTTATACTGGACCTTATTTTTAACCCGGAAAATATACAAATACTGAAATTCAGCCTATAAAGTGAGAATAACGACCATGAAATAGATCAAAAGCCCCCTGACTTGGAGAAGAAAAAAAAAAGCCAAAGGTAATTTACAATTATGTAAGTGTTTTTATAATAATTATTATTATTATTATTTTAGAAATTAGTCATTTTTCTGACATCAAAACACAGACACCCCCCCCTTCCTGGTCATTACATGCACCCCCACTCTTCGCTCTCTTCATGGTAGCGTCGCTGATCAGACTGCCACGTGATAATGACTCAAAATGGCCCCTGAAAAGGTTTGTTTGTGGCGTACGAGCCAAGCAACACATTCTTAGCAAACAAAGAAGTGAACGCATCTCATAATAGGCTACAAAAATACTCTTTTAAGAATCATGAGATAAAGGGTATAATTTCTCATAAACAACTGGCATCAGAAACTCCTTGAGACAGAGACGAAAGTGATACAGATTCAAAGAATGTCATAATGACATCTAGTGGAAAGCTGAATGGTGTTAGTTTAAGTTTAAGTTCCACAGCATAGTTTTCCAATTTTACAATGTGTTTTTTTTTTTTATTTTTTGGATGACCATTCGCCGAAGCTGATGCCTTATCAAGGTAAGTCATTCCTAGCTAGTAGATTTTCCCTTTTCGTGCTTTTGGTCACACTGCCGAAGCCATGACTTGCTAACACTTTCTTCTCTATCTCTACAATTCGGCATTGACCTGCAGGGAGAACAGACATTATAGTATTATTGTACTGCAAAAGCAGCAGAATTTGTATGTTCTATAATTGTGTGAGTATTAAATTCTCTGAAAGGAACATTTTCTGCACAAAATGAAGTTACATCTTCAAGGACCCATCTGCCATCATCGCGTGTAATGACTTTTTGTGGCCAATCAATATTTTAGATCAACTGGGTGATTTGTGAACTGCCTATCAGAATCTTTTTAAGTCACCCTTGAGAAATCAGCTGATTTAGCTTGCCGGGTGGCCTGCTGATAATGCAGAATTGTTCTATTTGAATACATGTGAGGATAGATAACCACTTCAACTCAAAGAAGCAACCGGGAGGGGGTGGGGGGCTCTCCTTTGCAGTTTTAATAGAAGGGTTTCATCAATACAAAATATTACACAGTACCACTTTCCACTGGCACTACCACAAGATTTATGCTAAGTTGCAGATGGATAATTTATTTTAAAACTAAAAGATTTTCCTACAGCAAGTGTTCAAATGAGCCTCAGATTTTCCTTTTGAAATATACAGTACATATACTGTACTGACTGTGACTATTGAGTTTCTCTGCATGCAAATCCAATTTCATGAATCCATCCATCCACACACCCTTTTCCTATCTACCTGTCCGGTAGAGTGTAACGGGGATCGCATAAAACCAGTATTTAAGTTCCAAAACTTCTGTAGTAACTAAATTATTGTCATTTACTGTAACAGCAAGTCTAGATGTACAGTATAATATTCAGATTCTACTGCTTTTTGCTGTTTTTTATTTGTTTGTTATAATTATGAATGGTTTGACCAAATAAAAACAAAACAATACTTATACACCTAACCCGCATTGAATGAAATTTGAAACAGTTCTATTTGGAGAAAATTCCACTGAAAAATAAAACACAAACATCAAATATCATCCATTGCTTCTTAAAAATACTATTGCCATATAAGTAGCAAACAAGACAGACAAGATAATTATAGAAAGTGTAAATGGGTGTTTTGCATCTGATCAGGATAAGTGATAATTTGGATACCGAATGCACATAAAACAAGGACTGGTGTAGTATCATAATTATATATAAATACATTATAACAATTAAATATTATTAATAACAACTTAATAAGAAACCTTGAATAATGCATGATAATACACCATGTAAGACATGTGGTTTGATATTGTCTGTTTGATCCTGTACTTGTGGATGTCTTTGGGGATTCCACTTTACACCTGCCATAAGTCTTCCAATCACAGTGACTGCAAAGGGTCATGTGGGGGTCCCAGAGCCTATCACAGGCAGCAAATGCAACAAGGTGGGACTATAACAGGCCTAAGTGCATGTCTTTGGACTGTAGGAGAAAACCAACAAAGGGAGAATATGCAGACTCCAGCAGAGTTGAGGCTGCATTTAAATCCCAAGCGCGGGCGATATAAAGCAATAGCGAGCCCCACTGACTCAGCACTCCGTCTGACAGTGAAAAGTTTCAGGAAATGCTAAACTAATATCCCTCCAGCTAATGGAATACTATATGTTACAGATGTGTGTGTATGTGGCACTGTGCATTGTCTATTTTTGTCTATTACTGTCTATTTTTGTCTTTTGTGTGGTTGTGCAGTCTGTAATCACAAACAATTTTGTCTGGGATAACGATAGCTCCTACTGTATAACCCTTTATAACCTTTTCTAGATGACGAGGCTTCAATCCATCCTTGCAAATGATGCACTGTGAGCTCTCTATCTGCATCATTTCACATGGATCAGTAGAATGAAATAGGATAGCAAATTATGATCAACTGTTACATGCTAATTGCTGTGAAACAGTGGGACTCAACAAAAACCAACATGCCAAATCTGCAAGTTCTACTGCAAGTCCTACTACATTTACGTTTGATTTTTTCGTAATAATAATTAATAATAATTTAATAATTGATACTTTATTGATCCCCGTGGGGAAATTGTTTTTACGCCTCCCTCAACTTGCTCTTTGATATATGTAGTACAACCTTTAGATCAAAGTGTCATTTACAGTTTTTGACTTTTCCCTGCCATTCAGATTTTGTTACCACAATCAATTCACATTGCAGGAGCCGTTCAAATCTGCAAAGAAAGCTGGTCTACCAATCCATCATGTCAAATGCATTCATTTATGTTTTGAGCTTAAAAGGCCAGAAACAAGAACAGAGTTTATCTGTGAAAACATGTAGTTAGGGTGAAGTAAAAGTACAGTAAACACTGGAAGTGAAATAAGTCTGATGAGAGGAAAAAAGAGTATAGAATAAAATTAATCATGAAAAAACAAGTGCTGAATGCATGAGTTCTACTGGAAGGTACATATGAATGAAAATATACAAAAAAACATTTGCAGAACATAATACACCAATCCTTCTTTACTCCTTTGAGCCAGGAGAATTTTAGTATACATGGAAAATTCCATGTTTTGAATTTTGGCATCATATAGATGAGATCCAGTGTCCTCAAAGACAAGGGTTTACTAAAGAATAAGGGCCTGGCATAGCCTCCAGGCCAAGCAGGCTCATGTGGCACAGACCTGCTCCGAGGCGTAGGGACTGGACAGGCAAGGGCAATAGCCTGGGGCCCTCAAGCTGGGGGGGCCGGAGGGCAACTGACTACATAGTACACTGCAACAACAGATCTACTTTATTTATGTATTCTGTTTTTCACAAACATGAAAACACAGGACTTGTGCTTATTAATTTCTTTGTTTACATGATTAATTTAGACTCCAAGCTAAAATAATGGTAATAATTTTCTCATGTGGAAGGTGAGATGGAGGGCCCCATCTTTTGCTATAGGGAGTCCCTAGAATCGCCTCTGGACCTGTTGTCCTCAGGGCAGCTCATTGATACCTCATTGTGACATCATTCTTGTCCAAGCCCTTTGTACATAGGAGACGTCACAGAAAGGTGCGCAAACACAAAAGGTCATTTGGATGACGAAGAATTTGGTTAAAGCAGGCTTACCCTAAGGTCTGGTGTCCTGCAAGGCCATTTCTTTTTAGCAATAGATGAATTTGATACCAACTGAATAAATCCTTCAAACAAAACTAGTAGCACACAGCTTGCAACCTTCCATAATTAAAAATGTATTATATCTAATTAAAGATTATATTTTTAAACATACGAGTAATAAGTATTGAAGACATTGCAATTTATATGAAAACATATTGGGATATTTTGGCAGACAGAAATTAAAAATGATTTAGCTATTTCCCGGCTGTACGAAGAGGAGAGAATAATATATGAATGAGAGAGATTTTTATTACTGCTACATAAAGAAGTTCACATTAATCATGCTTAAATAACACCAAAAGAAGGTTGGATATAGATCACACTGATAATCGCTGCAAAGCATGTAATGTATTTTCAGCACCCGTAAGGCAAGGTGTGAGGTTTTGGAGCAAAGCTTTGAGTGCCTTTTATTTGCCGGTTACTTTTCACATTTTTTGTCTCCCCCACACCAACTACGAACATATATTACTAAAAATAATGATACGATACTCACTAAAGCCACTGAGCTTTGTAGCAGAGGCAGCTTAGGCAATTTTTCCAGGCTAGGAGTTAAAAATGAAATTACAAACCTTTGTTTCTCTCAACTGAATTCCCAATGTTGTTTTATCACTAACTTGCTCCAGTAATAGCCTGGCGATTTTAAAATGATTCCGATTTCAAATGAGCTGCCATTACAGAATGAAGTCTCTGCAACAGTGAGCTGGAACGACCGCACCGCTAAGAGGAGAATGCAGAGTGGGACCGCAATGAGAAGAGCGGTTTGTATAGTGTGTGGCCCAAAATGACACATTTACAGAGCAAAGTCTGGTGTGCTGTAATGTACACTGCTGATCTGAATCTGGTGGGGCTTAAGGATAG